CACCCTGGAAGCCAAGCCTCAAATCAGACTATATTTGGAAACTGCTTACCTTGTGGCCAGGATGTGAAATATTTTAAACATCTTAACCCTACACCAACAGCGATCAGTGGTTTTATTTTCTGTTCACCCAAAATGCAAGGACCAAATGTAAACAACTTTTTAATCACAACATTATTCCCAGAATGGCCAGGGAATTTATTTTGGGATTTGGAAAGAAGGCATTATTGTTATGTGTCTCTGAAGATTCAAGTTTGGGAGTAGGAAGTAAAGACCGATCCAAATTAAAGATTATGCTAGCAAACGCAAGACCAACCACATATACTGCAGATAAGCACGTCTGGGTGAGTGGACAGCTTCCTCTATAGCAGAGTCAGAAAGGACAGCTGAAAAACAGAATTAGCCAGTATGGAACATGTACTGACATTCTGCACACCATATATGTACACAAATCCATTTCAAATATTATAAAATCCTTATATGTTTTCCAAACTTGTCTCTCTCTCAACAATTAACTTCATTAGAATCCTGAATCCCTAAAATATCTGATGTAATCTACTCCCACTTTTTTCATTTGACAGATGAAAAGACCAAGGTCCAGAGAGATGAATCAACTCCTCCCAAATTTTTAGAGTTTTCTGTTCCCCTAAATGTGTAATAGGACACAAAGCAGTAACCTACGTGACTTGGAACAGGCAAGCCCGTGTAATGCTGTGTGTTTGGACCTTGACCAACTGTGTGATCTTGAGCAATTTCATTATTTCCCTGAGCCTCAGTTTTCTCATTTCTAACAATTAGGATAACAACCTTACCTTTTTAGGGTATTTTATGAGGATTAAATGAGAGAATATATTTAAAGCATTGAGCACAGTGCCTTACATCTACTATGTATTAACAAAAGTCTAAATAGTTATTGTGGTTATTATGAATACTTCTGCTATTAGCATAATGATCTATGGAATTATAAAGTCAGGATCAAAATGACAAATAATAATGGCAATAATTACTATTGTAACAAAAAAGTGACTAACATTTCCTGAGTATGTGCCTGGATCCATTATTAATTTATGTGAGTCTAACTCAAGACTTCCAATACTATAGATAAGGAAACTCTGCCTTAGAGATGCCTAAATTTTGCTTACCAGCTAATAAAAGATGTTCCTAGGATATGATACTAAGTATCACAGAGTCTAGAAATCTTGCTGTTATGCTAAATAAAGACTATAAGAAAAAATAAAACAAAATGTTTGATTTTATGAGTGAGGTCTTTGAGTCTTTTCCAAAGTAAAAGTTATGAAAGGCTGCATTTTGAAGGAGGGTATCAATCACTTCACTTAAGCAAGTCAGACTTTTATAATAAATGTTATGGCTGAATGTGAGGTCACTCAATGTCAGTTCAATACCCCTTTAACAGGGTGCTATAAGTCAATCCTGCCATCTTAAGATTTATCTCTGGTGTACACTAAAATTGGTTGGTTTTCTATTGATTGAGCATTTGAGATACAAAAGCCTGAGAATTGGCTACTATTTATTTAATGTATCCTTGTATCCATCAAATTTGCAGGAATGCTATCTGCTGTTTTAATGTGGCCCAAAGCTTCCCAAATCTGGCTCCCATAATTGTTTGGGAAATGTCATGTGTTTGAGAAATGGTAAACTGCCTCTTTTCCTACTTGTAATTATTCTGAGATTTTGTTTGTGCAAGCTGATAAACAGGTTAACTTTACCCAGGGATGAGGTGGGGGTTGGAGGGCAGATGAAGCATACTACTAAAGGTGTTCAAATCTCTCTCAAAAAGCTTCATCTCAGTCAAAAGGCCCACATGTTGCAGAATGTTGGGAGGAGGGTGCCTTAAATTGTGAAATCTGTGAGGGATCTCATTTTTCTGGAACTCCCTGACATCTGAGCCCTCGTGTTGCTGGAAAGAGTCCAAGAGCACCATAAAATTAGGGCTGGTCCTGTCTGAACCGAGTCCAGATCATTTCAAGGCAGGGAAATAAATATTGAACCTAGTTAAATGTTGCTTGAGATTATGCTTGGCACTGAGTGTCCAGTCACCAATTTACTCTTAGGTTACATGGGTTATTTTGAGCTCAAATGGATATGCCGGGGCGGATGCCTTCAATGGCAGCAATTATTTGCAAGCACAGTTGCATTTCTGACACATTTAATGGAATGGAATGTAAAGATTTATGGGATGGTGTTGGGTGGGTGGAGAAGACGTTAAAGTCGTCGGTTTCATGCTCCTTTACTCAATCCTGGATCATAGTTAGCTTTCCCCATTCCTTTTCTCCCTTCCCTTGCCTTGAATAAACAAACCTCTTTTCTTTCTCTTTCCATTTTCTTTCTTCCCTCCTTCCATATAAGACGATAACTTGTAAGTTATGAATGAAGAATAGGAAGTCAGAATCACAGACATCAAAAGGAAGAGTTGTAAGAATCTGTAGTTCATCCAACCCCAATTTAAAACTAAAAAAAAAACTGGGGGTAGTTATTTGGAAAATAAATATTTTAAATGTTCAATTACACATTTAATGAATATATTTTTGGACAAGGGACCCATAGCACTTATGCACTCTGTCCAACTATCCGATCTGAGCCCTGCTGTATCAGCCTGTGCCTTTTTCAGTTTAGGACTGATGTTGGTCTGGCACATTAGTGCCATGAGATGGAAGTCACATGTAGCCTCAGTCTTTAGCCTGTCTTTTTTTCATTAAGAGGAGGATGCTTCCCAGGACCAAGTGTGATGCTGCTGGTTTTGGTTGCTCTGTCAGTCACAGCTCAGCCAAATGCTGGGGCAGTATTCTGGGCTAAGAGAAGCCTCTGGAGTCACACAGACCCACACAGGACTCCTGACCTGTGCTGTATCAACAGCTGACTTTGGAAAATTAATTTAAAGCTCTGTGAGCTCAGTTTCCTTATCTACAAACTAGGGATGATAATAGCTCCTACCTCACAGGGCTGTCTTAAAGATTTAATGCGGTAAAGCACATAAAGTGCTTAGGTCAGCACCTGGCATGCAGTAAACACTTATTAAGTGGTAGACATTATAATAATTCCCAAACCATCTCTCTGAAAGGCCTGCAGACTCAGTGAAGCTGTGACTATAGCCCCAGGCCTCTGTAGACCAGGGCGCTGAGATGGCAGTGGCTCCAAGGCCTGGCAGGTGTGGAAAATGAGAAGATCAGGGGCACATGTGGCAATCAGGCAGGAACTGCCTTAGCAGCACATACACCTGATTCTTGGATTTCAATGATGAGTGTTCAGGCTCTGAGCTGTTTCCACATGGTATAGCATGGGGAGAGGCGCTGCTCATCATTAAAGCACAGATATTTTCAAATGGTCCATATCTTGAAAAATTAGACACAAGACAAAAGAGTACAGATGAAATCCCACTAGGAGGAAAATCAATAAGGAATATCTTTTTAACAAAGCTCCAGACTTAGACTGTCTTGTTTCAAGAACTTTTTGATCCAACTTAAGTCCAGGAGCTATGATATACATGTGTACACGATTTCATAGTTCCCAATGCATTTCCCCACAGTTTCTCTTACTTGAGCCTTCCCAAAGGCACAGTATGTCTGTTGCCTTACACACTACACTGTTACTTCTTTTCACTAAGGCTTGATCACCACAACCCCTACCATACTCGCTACCCAGCACTCTCCAATCCCATCTGACTCTAACTAGAAGCCTCCAAATGCATAGGCTCTGAAGAGGGTGAAAGGTAAGTAAGGCATGAAAAACCTCCAGTTTGAGAATCTGGTCATGAATATGAACCATGTAAGAGAGGACTTAAGAGGAAAAAACTAAGTCCAAGAACTTCTGGGGGATTCTTTACTCTTCCAGCTTGTAGACCCAAAGTGGACATGAAAGGTGATTTCCTTTGTGTGAGACGGTTGAACACAAATACAATGGTGATTTTAATGATAACATGTCCCATAGAACTCAGCCATAAAATAATATTCTCACCAAAGCTACAAATGAATGGATGGGGATTTTATGAACCGAGGCAGATAGACTTTTCTATACAAACTCCATGCTCTTAGCCACAATTATTTTTTGTCTCTTCCAACACACTTTCATTGAGTCCACCATGGCCCTGGTCTTTGCTGCATGGTGAGGAAAGACCTGGGCTGGTTAAAGAGCAATACCCACAAGGACAGGCAAGACAGATTCAGCGATGTTTGTTTCACCCTCGCCTTGTCCCAAAACCTGAGAAAGAAAATACTGATAACAATTGGTATCTTTGGGTAACCATGTGTGGATTACTCATCAGAGAAGGCATGATTAAAACTATAGCTATGAAATGATTATTTCAAAATGTCCCATATGGCCCTTCTCCAATCAGACCCGAAGCTGTACCCAGTTGAGGTAGACACTCAAAGTGAGCCAGAGCCACCACCCAGAGCATGAGGAGGAGCTCGGCCACTGTGGGGAGCTCAGGGACAGCTCCTTGATTAAATGTCAACTACATGGGAAAGAGGAGAGGCTGACTATATATTAAAACATGTTCCAAAATGGTTTCATCGCTTCATTTTTAACCCAGAACGAAGAGGAACGTTTCCTTGGTAGAAAGCACAATTTTTGCCTCGGCTCAGTGAGAGAACTCAACGCAGCGTTGACACTGAATTATCTGAATGCTGGAGCGGTCCATAAGCAGCCACTGGACTATAACTGAGGTCACCTGGAGCATGCCAGTGACGTCTGTAGATCCCAAGATGTGATTTCATTAATCTCTGTGAATTTATCAGCTGGGCATTTGCCAGTTTAAAATGCCATCGTACATGGGATTAGGAAGCTACCAGCACTATAAGTTCAAAGGAGTCCCGGGGAGGGTTCTTGGCTTCATCCAAGGGCAAGATCCTGTGGCTGCTCTAAGAGTCATTTTTGCCTGAACAGTAAGAGCTCTGCTGGCAAGACCATGGGTCTCTGAAGGCTACTATGACACCACTGTGACATATCTGTAATAAACCCAGAGACAAAGGAAGTACATAGGGCTGGAGGCAGGGCTGAGGTGACCGCAATCTGAACTTCCTTCCAAAGCCTGACCACCTTCTCTCCTCTGGATGCCCCTCCTCTCTGGTGATGGTGAAGGACAGGTGTTGAAAGTCAGACTAAACAAGATTTGAACAGCAGCTCTGCTCACCACGACGTGACCACGAGTAAGTCACTTAACCTCCCTGAGCCTTGGGTTCCTATTTCATGGAAGTTCCATATGCTGATTGTGAGGATCAACAGACAGGATAGGTTTGAAGACACAACAGTGCCTGACTCTGGGTCAGCATCAAGTCGTGATAGATGTTACTTTTCCGTTAAAGTTCCTATCTTGCCCCTGCCCTTAAGCTCAGTTCTGTTTATGGGGGCAATGCTGGGATAATCTTCTCTTAACTCTTTTGAGACCTGTTTTCAGCTGACATAAAAAGCGGTCAAATCACAAGCACACAAGCCTTAATGAGCTGCGTTGGAGAGCATGTGTATTCAATAGAAGGTTGATAGTCCTCAAGGGAATTTCGATATTCGAGGTGTGCAGGTGGGAGAGGTTTATTTGAACCCTGCAGGTGAGTACTGGACATTAGGGGTGGAAATAGGCCAGGTTCACATAACCTGAGTTGATTTTAGGATAAGTGCATTTAAGAGAAGTTTTACAGGCAGATTTGAGAAAACTTTTTCCAGAAGACTGAAGAGGACCCAATATCACCAGATGGAGGCCAAGATAAGATCACACTTAAGAGCACATGCTAGTCCAGAGCCATCTTGCCTTGAGCTGAGCCTGCAGCCTGGTAGTGCCTGAAAAAGGATATGCAACCTTGGAGGTGCCTTGATAAATCTCTCCTCTGCCATTCTAACACAGCCACACCAATTATCTTCTTGTCCTTCCTCACCTCCCTTGCACCTCCTCACACACATTCACACATGCAATCCCTTGTTCTAAGTCTGAGAAAAGGAGAATAGACAAAACACAAACTAAGGTCCACATGTGGTCAAATGGAGATGGTCACGTGCAATCATGTGTATCCTTAAATGGCAAGATTCATCACCAAAGTCTCCACCTCCTTTACTCTCCAAAAATAATCCACCTTCTTGCAGATGGATTATGACAGTCCCACTTTTTTCTCTCTCCTACTCAGGCCACCATGTGCCTGTGGCTGGCCATATAGCTTTGAAAAGCACAAATGACCAGAAGGGACCAAGTAGAGTGAGAAAAGGCGGGCACTGTGGAACTGTAGCATTGTCCTCTGTCCTCTTGTGATTGTGACTGCTTCCCTGCAGGGAAGGGACACCCCTTTCCCTCCCTATCAAACAGGCAGCCCAGGAGGGCTCAAATTCCCAGTGGGAGGGCCTTGGCCTGCTACAACTAACTTTATGTGGCTGGAAGCCCAGCCCATTTCTGTGTAGCTTTGGGCATTTAACAAATGCTTTTAATGATGATGATGATGCAACACTTTGAGCTTAGATCTGTCAGAGCCCCTGCAGCATGCGATGGTCCCCTGGGAAACATATATTATCTGAAGCTTTCCCTTTTGCTTAATTACATTGTACTAATGTTCTTTTTCCACTGGATTTCTCCTCTACCAACTCCCCCACCCAAACCAGATTTCACTGTGGGTTGGATTTACATAAAAGACCAGCACATTATAATTGTGATGATGGATCACTGAAGTTTCCTTGGGTTCAGATTGTTTCCTAATGTGGGTCATTTTTCATCATAAAGAGTCAGCTGATAATGATGTCATTTCCATTGCTTGAATTTCAAGGCAGTGGCCACATATCACAGAGTTTAAATGACTGTCTATAGGGCAGCAAAATCCTGTCTTTATCAGTTTAAAGCAGTTGCTGCTTTACTCCTGGGGACAAAACAAGAACTGGAGCCTCCTAAAGCTCATCAAATAATAGCAGGATGCCAGGAATACAAATCTGCATCTGGGCTGGGGGAGGGAGGGGGCAGCAGGGCAGGTGGTGAGGCAAACCTGTTCCTGTGTGAAACTGGGTGGTAAGCATCAGATAAAAACAACAAAGTCACACTCAACAGAAAATAGGCCCCACTGCTAGTCCCTGAATACATTAGATACATTCTCCCACAATCACTGAACTGTGATTCCACTGTACAATTAACCAGGAAACATTGAAATCACTTGTGAAGAGCTTTGGATTAAACCCATCTCGCCAGGTATTACAGTTTATATACGAGCTGTCCCCCAAAAGCTCTTGGGTTAATGCAGAAGGTGAAATGATTCGATTATGGGAAATGTTACCTAATCAGTGGATTAATTCATTTGATGAATTGATAATTTGAATGGACTAACTGGGTGGTAACTGTAGACAGGTAGGGTGTGGCTGGAGGAAATAGGTCACTGGGCACGTGACTTTGGGGTTTATATATTTATTCCTGGCATCTCCCTCCCTCTCCTGTGATTCCTGGTTGCCATGAGCTGAGCAACTTTCCTCACCTCACCCTTCCACCATGACGTTCTGCCTGATTTGGGGCCTGGAGCAATGGAGTCACCTAACCCTTGACTGAACCTCTAAAACCATGAGCCAAAATAAACTTTTCCTCTGCTAAGTTGTTCTGGTCAGGTGCTTTGGTCACAGCAAAGGAAAGCTGACACACGAGATGAGCCAATAAATGTGCCTCTCATTGAGTGATTGAACTTTTTGATGGGCCTGGAAACTGAATAAAGTATGAGTATGAAATAAAATGATGTCACATATGTGTTTAAAACAAATAGCTGCATCATTGCAGTTCCAGGACTTGCAGGCCCTAAAGCATGGTGAGTGAGCTATGCCCCAGACAGTCTGTTTTTCTGCTTCTAGCCACCTCCTATGTGGTACTTCCCTCTGGGATCTTCTAGCACATCCTGCAGATGTTAAAAGTTTTTAGCTTAGCCCCAGCCCTGCTTTCCACTGTTTCTCATTCAGCCCAGATGTTTCTTCTCTCCCCAACTTCTTATTTTGAAAAACTTCTAACTTAGAGAAAAATCCTAAGAACTGTGCAACACATATAACCTGCTCCCCTAGATGCACGAATCATTCACATTGTCCGGAAATTGCTCTATTTATCTATATTCTCATATACACATTTTTAATCATTTGAGAATTAGTTGCTTTAGCTTGCATCTTTCATGACACTTATATATTCCTACATACTAAACTGGTTTATTCTCAAAAGAACAAAAAGATTCTCCTCATTTCCATAGTACAATAATCATACTCAAGAAATCTAATGTTGGTATAATGTGACATAATTTTTTAAATTCTCCAATTTTTGTTCATATATAGTCTCATGCAGCTGATGTGTGTGTGCATGTGTATGTGTGCGTGTGTGTGTGTGGGGGGGTTAATCAAAGATCTCACATTGCATTTAGTTGACTTTAGTTTTCTTTTTTAATTTGCTTTTGTTTTGTAGTATTAAATTTATCTTCATTTCAATATAAATATTCTTTTCAAAACTTTATTTCTTATTATAGTGAAAACACATCAAGAGGACACAGATCCAGCTTTAAGGGAAAACTGGGATGATTTGAACATTAAAATGACATATGAGGGCTGGGGTTGTGGCTCAGTGGTAAAGCACTGGCCTAACACATGTGAGGCCCTGGGTTCGATCCTTAGCACCACATAAAAATAAATAAATAAAGGTATTGTGTCCAACTACAATAAAATAAAAAATAAAAAATACTTTAAAAAATGACATATGAAAGAAATGGTTCTGACACATGAGAGGGGGTAGAATATAATCTGATATTTTAAAATTTCTCAGAGAAAGCTCTTATTTACAGAATACCAACTGAAAAATCAGCAAGAAGTCTAGAAATTAATTACCTTTTTGGAACCATCATAGAAATAACTAATTCAGGAAAGAATCATCACTTTTCAATCCACACTGGTATCTCCTTCTTCCACAATGAGAACGCACATTCCCAAAATCCCTGGTATTTTTACTCATGCATTCAGTCCTGCAATACACAATATCAACAACTTATTAAAAGATTTAAGAATTCTTTACAGTTTAACTTTTGTTCTTAAAAATATCACATTGGGGGTGTATTCTTAATACTTTGTTCAAAAGTGATTTCAGTAATTTTTCTAATGTGATTTTTTTCCATTTGATAAAAAGTTCTCTGGGTTTTTTTTTTTATTTTTGTTGTTGTTCACTTAAATTCACTCTTCATATTTTTCTGTCCCTCTTAATTTAATTTTATTTTTTGGAAATGTGAACCATTAACACATGTTAAAACTCAAAACTAAATAAAAAATTATAATCAGAAAAGTGACCTCTTCTTATTCCTGGTTCCCACTGACTCCCATAGATAACCATTTTTACTCATTTTCAATTATTTTTCATGTGTTTCTTTTTGCAAAAGTGAGCTAATTCACTGGCGTTTCTTATGCCATTGACATTTCTATATCTTTTGTACTCATCACTTCTGGAATTTAGAAGAATAAGAATATACAGGAAAACTCCAAAAGGTGAATTCACCCCAAGGCCATTTCCTGCTTGAGTAGGGAAAAATCCTCGGTTTCCCTTACAAAGATCAGAAAAGGTGAACAGTATGGAATAAGGATTCTGGAGCTAACCCTAGTCATGTGACTCAGGAGGCTAAGGACCATGAGATTCCTCAAAATGTCTACTTTTTGTTTGGGCAACGAATGAGAAAGTAAAAACTTGCTCTACTTCTAATTCTTGTTAATGATGATCAAACTAATTAGCCTGGCTATAGTACCTTTTAGACTTAACACAAATCTAATATTGCCCTATATCTTAAAACCGTTCCATGGTTCCCTGTTGCCCTCAGTCAGGATAAATTCCAAACTTCCCAACTGCTTGATTCTCTTCTCAACTTGTCCCATTTGCTTTGCTCACACTGACACACTCTTGTTAGGAAGTCAGCTGGGTGGGTTTCACTTCCATCAATCCCACGAAGCAAATCTGTTTGCTGAGCACCCTGAGAAAGTCTGTTACATTGCAGTGGTGCCCACTCCTGAAACTTGGGTACTGGGTTTTTGACGGGACCTCCCATTGCTCTAACTATTTGGAAAGCCACAGTAAGATTTGTGAGTTCAACTATTATGGCTTAGATATGAGGTGTCCCCCAAAAGTTCATGTGCAAGACAAGTCAAGAAGGTTCAGAGGTTAAATGATTACATGATGAGAATTCTAACCCAATCAATGGATTAATCCACTGATACGAATGGACTGGGTGGTAACTGAAGATAGGTAGGGGGGCATGCCTTTGGAGTTTATATTTTCTTTTTGGTGAGTGGAGATCAATCTCTCCCTCACCCCTCCTTCCTGATTGCTATGTTCTGAGCTTCTTTTCTTCTCCTCGCCCTTCCACCATGAGGTTCTGCCTCACCTCAGGCCCAGAGTAAAGGAATCAGCTTCCTATGGACTGAGGCCTCTGAAACCATGAGCCCCAAATAAACTTTTCCCTCTCTAAAATTTTTCTCGTCATTTCTTTTGGTCACAGCAGTGAAAAGTGGACTAAAACAGTGACCTTCCAGCCAAGGACAGGTGGAGGAAGGCTTGTACATATTGTGGGTCCTGTATGGTCCTATATTGTTGGCACCCTGAATGGTGGGGACCACTGTCCCTACCCAGAGCCTTTCTTGCCTCAGGCTCTCAAGTTCCTGCCCTCTGCCTCCCTTTTGCTTCAATTTTTCATATTTCTAACCAAACTAGTAAACTGAGTCTCCAAAGCCTTCTCTCCATTTGACCGCTCTTCTTGCATGCCTGTTTCCTGGATCTTCCATCAGAGCCTGCAACACACTCCCTAACACTTCCATCAATCCTGGCATTTAATCTTGGTCTGGTTTCTTCTACTGTCTTCCACTTCATCCTTCCATTTGAAGAGAAGCTGGAAGACTGGCAATTTTCAGGCTTTTCTGTGAAAGAGAGTTACCCAGGGAATTCTGACTCATTGTGTTGAGGGTGGAACACGAGAATCTGCACTGCAATCCAGGCAGGCCCAGGACACCTTAAGAAATACATTAAATAAGTAATTTGGGTTCTTTCTGTCACCCTTCAGCCTAAGCTGGGCCTTCTGAGTGCTATAGATACTCTTTCTCCTAATTACTTACAATGACCACTCACCCAATTATCTCCAGTAGAATCTGCCTTCAGCTGACCCACACAGGAGCTTCAGCTCTGAGAAACACCTCTACCCTTCATCCCAACTACATCACTACACTTAAACAACTGATCTTAGAATTGTGAATAATAATATTTTATTGTCCACTCAAATGATGGACATTATCTTTCTGTCTACTCATACTCAGTTTATTCACATCGATGTAATTTTTATTACAATAAAATAATAGTGCTTCTTTATGTGTTTCATTTGTAAAGATCATATACATACTTAGAATTCTTTTTCCAACTCACAGAAAACAATCCCACTAAAAACCAGCTAATCACTATCAGTTTCCTCATAAACATAACAAAATCAAATCGGGCTCAACACCTTAGAACCAGTGCAAATTCATGAGAATTACTACCACCCAACAGAGGAGTGCAACTAGGAGCAGTGGAAGATGTCACGACCATTTAAAAGCAGAGTCTGGAGCAGGAGGCCACACTAAGTTCAGCTGGAGCACATCATGACTGGGGTGCTGCGGAACTGTTTCCCTTGACTTGGGACATGGTCATGCTTGTCTTTTCTTCTGAGGGTATCAACAGCTACCTTGGCCAAAAATGTGTGTAGTCTTACTTGAAATATTTTTTTAAAATAAAACAGAAGGGATTCTAAGAGGTATCTTAGGAATCTCAGACCACACTGAAAATTTGGGAAAAGGAATTAGAGTGGACTGCACAAACAAGAGTTTAAAACCTTTGTAGCCATTTCCTTGACCTATGCCATCTCACAGCACAGTATCAAGAGCCATGGTAATGTGCAGGCTCTGGGGTCTTTATGATGAAATTCTACCCATATTCTGCCACCGACCAGCTGTGATTGGGGCCAACTCAGTCTCTGTAAGCATTTATTCAAGGTAAGTGTTAAGTCCTATGATGCTGGTGACAATGACTGAACTAATGAAATCAGATATTTGACACAAAATAGATATTTAATCAACATGACTATTTTTTTCTTTCTGTGATAATGCATATAACAAAATTGACTGTTACAGTCATTGTTAAGGTATAGCTTCTGTGGCATAAGCACCTTCTTTCTAGAGATGGGCAACCATCCCTAGAAATTTCTCCTATTCCCAAACTGAAACTCTATCATTTATGTGTGTGTGTTTGTGTGTGGTGTGTGTGTGAGAGAGAGAGAGTGTGTGTGTGTATATGTGTGTGTGTGTGTGTATATATGTATGTGTGTATATGTGTGTGTGTGTGTATATGTATGTGTGTGTGTGTGTGTGTGTGTGTGTGTGTGTGTGTATGGTTTTGATGGATAAGTATTTGTTCATTCATTTATTTACTTATGGTGCCAAGAGTCAAGCCCAGTGCCTCACATGTGCTAGGCAAGCACTCTACCACTGAGCCACAACCCCATCCCTCTATCATTTTTTAAAATCCTTTAGCTGGTTTTGGTCATATTTATAAATGTCTTAGCATTTTGTTCCTAACACATAGTAACTTTAGTATAACATCAGGGAACACAAGATCTTGTTTTATCTTTTGAATTTCATTTTTGAGTTCTATTTGTAGAGATTGATATTTTGTTGATTTTCCGCTTCCTTAGAAGTTTACCAAAGGACAAAGAGAAACTTTACTTTTTAAAAAATAGAATAAGACAAAACTCATTCTCTCTTGCAATTTTATATATCTAAGATATATGATGAGATCTTAGTGATTTTATTTTTCCTATATCATGAAACAATTTGCTATTTGTCATCTTGGTAATGAATTTGTGGTTACTCACCAATTATTTCCTGCTATACTTAAAGACACTATGATAATATGAAATGGAAAAATGATAGAATTTTCTAAAATGTTTATGCACTAATGAAATAAATCATCACTGTTGCATCACCCTTCAGTCTCTTGTTATCTTGCCCATATTATAGCATTGTTCTGGAAGGTTTGAGAGAAGACTGAAGACTACATCTTTGTAACTCTTTTTCACTTTTCAGTGAACATAGTTGAGAACTCATGATTTTCATTTTGTATCCACAATGACAAATAAAAGGAAATGTATAGATGTTTCACAATTATTGGACAAATTATAATACTAGCATAAAGAGATTTCAAAATAAGCAAAATCAGGCTATGAACTTTTCAGATGATGATATATTATACAAATTTTCTCAAAATTTTGGACTCAATGACTTGCCAATATATTGGTAAAAACAAAAAAAATAAAGTATGGTATTCTCAATAAATTAGTCACTCACAAGAAGAACTTCATCATGTAATCTTTTGTGATCAGAACCTGGATCATTCTGTTTTGCTAAATCAACATGTAACAACATTGTTTTGTCTCATATGATTATTGTGAAACAAAATTTGCTTGATATGAATCTTAATTGGACAAAGCATGCATAGGAAAAAGAGGTGAATGTAAAAAAATAGATAATATGGGATTTAAAAATCAGTTAAATTGATTATTCTAATGATATTTATAAATCTAAACATGAAAATGTTTTTTAATTATGAAACAAAGAAGCTCAAACTAACTATGAGCCATCAAAGTCTTCAAAAGTATTAAACTCTGATGATGTAACTGCAAGAAGATAAAATCAGAACTAATGACTAGACAAACCTTATAGAAATGTATTTGAAATTTGGAATCAGTATTACAAGAATAAGTGGGTTTTTTTGTTTGTTTTTTTTGTGTGTGTGTGTTTGTGTGTATATGTGTGTGTGTGTGCATGACAGCTGATGACCAGTTAATGGCATTCAAAGTACATTTTAGACATTATACCTTCTAAACTAAGAAAATATGGAATAAAAAATGGAGTTTTCCAAGTTCAAATTGCTAAAGTTTCTAATAAGTTTCTCATAATTCTT